TTTCATCCCCTAAGGGAGAGGCAGACCCTGAGGAATATAGGTCAACTTCCAAAACACTAGTTCTATGTTTTCAGGCCCCTGACATTTGCTATATGCCCCATTCATGGATCAAAAAACCTTGTCTTGCATAAGGGACTTACATAACTCAATGAAGCTCTGAGTTAGGTCATGCCATGCAGAGCCACCCAAGACAGGTTGGGGAGTTCTGACATAGTGGAGAGTTCTGACAAAATGGGGTCCATTGGAGGGAGGAAAGGGAAATACTCCAGTATTTTTGCCTGAAGAACACTATGAATGGCATGAAAAAGCAAAAAGATTTGACACTGGAAGATGAGTTCTACAGGGTGAAAGGTATCAGTAAGGACCTAACAGAAGCACAAGAGATTAAGAAGAGGTAGCAAGACTACACAGAAGAACTGTACAAGAAGGTCTTAATGACCCTGACCCCCACAATGGTATGGTTACTCACCTAGAGCCAGACATCCAGGAGTGTGAAGTCAAGAGGGCCTTAGAAAAGATTACTACAAAGTTAGTGGAGGTGATGGAATTCCACCTGAATTATTTCAAATCCTAAATGATGATGCTATTAAAGTGCTGCTCCCAATGGCAGCAGATTTGCAAAACTCAGCAGTGGCCACAGGATCAGAAAAGGTCAGCTTTAATTTCAGCCCCAAAGAAGGGCAATGCCAAAAAATGTTTAAACTACAGCACAATTGCATTCATTTCACATGCTAGCAAGGTAATGCTCAAAGTCCTTGAAGCTAGGCTTCAGCATACATGAATCAAGAATGTCCAGATATACAAGCTGGATACATTCATTGGATCATAGAGAAAACAAGGGAATTCCAGAAAAAAATAAAACCATCTACTTATGCTTCATATACTATAGCCTTTGACTGTGTAGATCACAACAAACTGGAAAATTTTGAAAGAGATGGGAATACCAGACCACCTTACCTGCCTATTGAGAAACCTGTATGCAGGTAAAAGAGCAACAACTAAAACTAGACATGGAACAGATGGACTGGCTCGAAATTAGGAAAGGAGTATGCCAAGGCTGTATATTGTCACCCCACTTATTTAACTTCTATGCAGAGTACATCATGTGAAATGCTAGGCTGGTTGAAGCACAAGATGGAATCAAGATTGCCAGGAGAAATATCAACAACCTCAGATATGCAGATGATACTACTTTAATGGAAGAATGTGAAGAAGAACTAAGGAATCTCTGGATGAAAGTGAAAGCAGAGTGAAAAAGCTGGCTTAAAATTCAACATTCAAAAAACAAAGATCATGTCATCCAGTCCCATCACCTCATGGCAAATAGAAGGGGGAAAAGTGGAAACAGTGACAGATTTTATCTTCTTGGGCTCCAAAACCACTGTGGATGGTGACTGCAGACATGAAATTAGAAGATACTTGGTCCTTGGAAGGAAAGCAGTGACAAACCTAGACAGAGTATTAAAAAGCAGAGACATTATTTGCCGGCAAAAATTCATATAGTCATAGTTATGGCTTTTCTGGTAGTAATACACAGATGTGAGAGTTGGACCATAAGAAAGGCTGAGCACTGAAGAATTGATGTTTTCAGATTGTGGTGCCAGAGAAGACTCTTGAGAGTCCCCTGGACTGCAATGAGATGAAACTAATCAATCCTAAAGGAAATCAATGCTGAATATCCTTTGAAGGACTGATGCTGAACCTCCAATACTTTGGCCACCTCATGCAAAGAGCTGACTCATTGAAAAAGACCCTGATGCTGGGAAAGATTGAGAGCAGGAGAAGAAGCAGGCCACAGAAGATGTGATATTTGGATACTATCACTAACTGAATGGATGTGAGTTTGGGCAAACTCCAGGAGATAGTGAAGCACAGGAGAGCTTGGCATGCTGCAGCCCATGGGGTCAAAAGAGTTGAACATGTCTTAGTGACTGAGCAACAAGAAGTTTACTGTTTGCTCAGGGGTTCTCCGTTTCCCATGTAACCTCAAGTTTCAGTGCTATGTAGGACTGCCTTCCCTAATTCAGAAATCTTGAATGCCAAAAGGGGCTTAATTCTACTAATCAGAGCAAGCTTAGTGACTTTTGAAAAATCTCCTAAAAAATAAAAAATCTCCTACCTAGAATGTTAGTATTCTTAGTAATCTCAGCATTTTTAGCAGATCATAAAATACTGTTTAAATATACAGTTTGCCTGACAGCATTTCATGTCAACTCTCTACTCAAAGGCTAGAATTTTAGTACTTGTCTTTCAATGACAAATGACTGGTAACTTGACCTCAATTACATGAGACATTCACATTTACTTTACCTAAAATTAAATTCCAGCCACCTTACTGATAGTGATATTTTAATGACACATTTATGAAGTAATTGTTAATTTGCACAGTTCTGTCCATGTGACCACAGTGACTGCAGCAGGGATTGGCATATGTTTTAGAGGGAAGCATAGGATGGTTCTGGATCTACTGGAAAGAAATGCTGTCTTTTATTGACTTGCTATGAACCTGGGAAGATGCAGGCCAACCCTTTGCTAACAGAAGTGATCCTGCCAGCAAAAACAGCCTAACATTAAAGAAAGCTTAAAGAAGAACAGAGTTGATTCCAAATGCCAGTTTGAGCACCCATAAACCCCTACCTGAGACCACTCTACATTTGGTCTTACATGTAAGTGAGTCTAAAATATCTTTTATATTCAAGTACGTGAGTTAGATAGGATGTGACTTACAAACTGAAGAAACCTAACAGATGCATTTACACAAAAGGAACAAAGCAGGAAGGAGACTGAAGACAGGACAAGTATACGTCCCTATTTATTTGGTGTTAAATGCACTTCCCCTTCTAAAGAGAAAAGACAAAATCTGAGGTGTCCCATTAATAAATTTGCTGCTTCTGGGAATTAAATGCTAAAATTTTATGCCCATTCATCAAGGTTTGGTACCATCACACACAGTAATTAAAATGTTACCTGAGATTTTAAGGCTGTCCCTTTGTACACAGAATATCTTTCCTTCCAAATTTCAAGAGAAAAGTAGAAAATGGGAAGTCTCCTTGTGGTGGGAGAAGTGGATAACTTGGGTAGAATTTCTGAGAGAAAACTGTAGAGTCAACCACCGTACTAATCCAATAATAAGAGAACTATTATCCCTTTCAAGGCAAGAATGATGAAGTCGTTTGCCATTCCTTTCTCCAATGCAGAAAGAGCTCTCCATCATGTCAGAACTCTCCACCATGACCTGTCCTTCTCGGCTGGCCCTACATGGCATGGGTTAATTTCACTGAGTTACATAAGACTGTGATCCATATGATCATTTTGGTTAGTTTTCTGTATTTGTGGTTTTCATTCTGTAAGCCCTCTGATAGACGAGGATAAGAGGCTTGTGCAAGCTTCCTGATGGGAGGGACCAGCTCTAGGGAAAACTGGGAGTTGTTCTGGTGTGCAGGGCCATGCTCAGTAAAGCTTTAATCCAATTTTCTGCTGGTAGGGGGGGCTGTGCTCCCTCCCTGTAGTCTGGCCTAAGGCAGCCGTCCTAGCGTTTGCAGTCTTTGTGGTAGGCTACAGACTCTGTGATGGGAGAATGGCAGCCTCCTCCTAAAGGACTTAGGCCAGTATGCCTGCTGTGCCTCCCAGGGCTGCTGCTGCCAAAGCCCCTGAACCTGCAGGCCACTCTCAACCCAGCGAGATGCCCTGACAGAAGTACATCACTCTGCCTACAGACATCTGTCCAGTCAAAGCTATGTTTTCTATCCAGTAGTCATGTACAGATATGAGAGTTGGACCATAAAGAAGACTGATCACCAAAGAATTGATGCTTTTGAACTGTGGTACTGGAGAAGACTCTTGAGAGTCCCTTGGACTGCAAGGAGATCAAATCAGTCAATCCTAATGGAAATCAATCCTGAATACTCATAGGAAGGACTGATGCTGAAGCTGAAACTCCAATACATCGGTCACCTGATGCAAACAGCCAACTCACTGGAAAAGACCCTTCTGCTGTGAAATATTGAGGACAGGAGGAGAACAGGGACACAGAGGATGAGATGGTTGGGTGGCATCATTAACTCAATGAACATGAGTTTGAGCAAACTCTGGGAGATGTGTAAGACAGGAAGCCTGGCATGCTGCAGTCCATGGGGTTGCAAAGAGTCAAATATGACTGAGCAACTGGACAACAACAAGAATTATCCCTCCGACATCTCCAAACATTCTAGAAGAGAAATCCATTTCTTGCCTAAAAGACAACTTTTTCAATGCTGTGTGTAAAACAGGTTGGTTTCTGTTAACTGCCAGAGCTGTCTTGATGCCTTAGTGTCCAGAAATTCAGAGATAATGAGGTACAGACAGCCTTCTCCAGTGGCAGAGAAAAACCTAGACACCAGTATTGAGATAACTGTCACCACGCTATATACGTAGTCAGGTCTGCAACATTTTCCAAAATGATTTGAAATCGAAACTGCTCATGATCCTCTACAAATAGAAATGCGGAGAGGCTTAGTAGATTATCATTTCAAATCAGGCAAATCAAGCCAGCAAAGCCAAAGGGAAATGGACATGAGTCTTCCACTCTTGCTGTACTGTGAGTCAACCCTGAAGGTAATGCACCTGCAAGAAGTCACCCTCTTGTGTTGCAAAAACTCACATGTGGGAAGGAGACAACTTGCTCGGGTCAGTTACTCTTAGGCAGTGTTATCAGTCCTCCACCCACCATCCCCCTAGAATGGAACAATGGAATGGCTGGGTTCCCTCCTGAGGATTCCCCTTTTAAAAAATAAACAAGCAAGTGTTTTCCAAATCTGACCCACATTTTACAGTGAAACAAGGTGGTGTGTCCCAGAGTGGGGAGGATGGGAAAGGAAGCTAGGTATCAGGCTGGCACACTTGGGCACAAGGTTCTGGAGAGAGTGCAGGCTTCTGAGATGGAAAAATGACAGATATACTGAGCATCAGTAGTTGTGGCACTTCCAGGAACATCATTCATAAACAAAAAGCTCCCAAATCTCTCAGGTTCTCCTCTGGCACCTCAGGCAGGCATCCTCCAGGTTAGCAAGGAAGCCAGGAATTCCATTCTGCAAAGAAAAAGAGATTGTCATTACTCTGTCCTCACAGCAACTACTCCTGATTCTCAAGATGTGGCAACGGTAAAGGAAGATGCCTTGGGGAATAATAAATAAGACAATAGGGCTCCTGATAAAATTTCAACAGAATGTTGTCACTGATGATGAAAAAGGTAAGACTCAGGGCACAGGTAAGGTAGGGGCCACAGTTGTCAGACCTTGCATATTTTAGCATTTGCTAATAGAAATCTAAGATAATTCTAAGACACTGTTTTTGAAAAGAAATAAATGACTCAGGAAATGGGACTGGGCTGGGCTGTGTGATTCTTCCAAAACATGAAAAAAAGGACTTGCTTTACAGAATTAGAAATTGGTAAGAATTGGGAGCAAGAGGTGGGATATGTCATCCCTTATTTAGTGTTGAACATTGCCCAGACTTTCCCCAAATGTTGTTTTGGTTACTCCTTCTACACATTGTGGAAATACCCATCCCCATTTTTTTTTGGAGGGAAGAAACTGATGGCTTCCCTAGATTACATAGTCAGAAGTAGGACCAGAATTCAAAGCATGATGTGTTTTACTCAAGTTTGTGTACTTTTTCACTCTCCCTGGGAACTGGTGAGCCCACCAGCCTGTAAGTATGACGTCACAAAGCAGACTGAATGGTCTCCATGAGTGATCTGCATACCACTGAAGTCCCTGCTCCTTATAGAAAGAAAACACAAAAACAAAACTGGAGGCTTCCCCAGGCTTGAACATATCTCATTGTCTCCCAAGCCATGTTGGCCTAACTCCTCCATAAGCAGAAACAGCATCCACAGGCACCCTTGTTCCTACAAGGAGCAGGTTATTGTCCAAAGGTTCCAGACAGTGATTCTGGCGGGATCCTGGTGGGAAAGTAGCGTGGAGCTGATATTCCAGGTAAAGATTCTGGTCTTTTGTCCCAACCTCGGTCCTAGGTGTTGGCAGCCCCAGTCCTCACCAAAGTCAGTCAACCATGCTGCTTCATCAGAGAGCATCGTGAGGCCTGAGACTGTACGTCTCTTCGGTCTGGCAGCCCCTCAGGCTCAGTCAACATCTGTCAGGCTCACTTCCCCTCCTGCCGCTGGGGGCCTCACCTCGGCAGCCAAGTTGACGACCCAGGATGGAATCCAGCCACCAGGGTTTATGAAGCAGTGAATGAACACTAGAGAGGGAAAGGAAGGACAGTTCAAAAGGAGGAAAAGTACAGCAGCAAACATCCAGGTTTATATGCAGGCCAAGGGATTAAGGAAGGAGGTAACCCACAATTCAAGTGGACTCTCCCATCTCCTTTATGGGAGACTTATACACACACTTTGGCAAACAGCCAAGGCACATTTTGCTGCTATTTATTAAACCCGTGGCAAGTGCTAGATGAGGAGGGCATGGCAATCCACTCCAGTATTCTTGCCTGGAGAATCCCCATGGACAGAGGAGCCTGGCGGGCTACAGTCCATAGAGCTGGACATGACTGAAGTGACTTAGCATAGCATTGCATAGCATAGCATAAGTGCTAGATATTTGGATATATGTCTCATTTAATTATTTCTTTCAATTATCTTAATTATAAAAATTGATAAAATTAAACTCTGGTTTATAAATGATAAAACTGAGACTTAGAAGAGTGGGGTGATGCACCCAAGGTGGCAGATCTAACACACATCAGAACTATTGTTCAGACTTTACTGCAGTCTCAAGGCCACACCCCTTCCAGTCCAGCAGGTGGCCACATAAACCCCTCCCAGATTCTCTCCTGAGTATGGAACTCAAGGCAGACAGGTCCTGAGTCTCTCAGCTTTTGCTGAGTGAGCAGTACCTCGTCAGAGATGGTCCCACTAGCCTTCCTGCCCATCTCCAGCCAGAATGTGCAGTACAAGAGCAGCCTGAAGTGAATTCCTAAACCTTTTGGTTCACTTCGATGTTCTGATTTCATCTGGACAATGCAAAAGTAAAAAATAGATTGATCAGATTTAAACATCCACCTTGCATTGTAGCCACACTTGAGGCTCCTCTGTTTCCTTTGCATCCATGCCCAGTCTCTGACCTCAAGGAAAATGCATCATGCATTTTATGTGCCTCACAGGGACTGCTCATGCTTCGCAGGGCGCAGCAGCACACCAACAGATGCCTTCTTTTTACCTTTGCTCCGGTTACTGCCGTTGCTCTCCATGGCCAGCTTCACCCGGCATGGCCTCACGCGGATGAAGTCTGACCCCTCTGGGAACTGTGGCACCGAGGTGGTCTTGGCCAGGACCACCTGCACCTTCCGCCCCCTGAAGTCCAGTTCTCGCCGCTGCCGCACATAGACGCACTGCACTGCCGGTCAAGGCAAGACAAGAGGGAAGCCTCTCAGATGGATAAAAGGAAAGCCCACAGTCAGAAGCAAAAGGAAATTATGTTGTTGCCTCCACGTGGCGTTTACTCCCTTAAACTGTCAGTTCACTTCCTACTTGGTCTGCCTCACTTCCCTGCAAAACCCTGTGGCCTCCCACCTGGTGTTTTCTCTTCATAGCAGGCATTGTGTACATACTCAGTTCCCAACTGTTGTCTGACTCTTTGTGACCCCATGGACTCTAGCCTGACAGGTTCTTCTGTCCATAGGATTTCCCAGGTAAGAATACCGGAGTGGGTTGCCTGTCCTCCTCCAGGGAATCTTCCTGACCCAGGGATCAAACCCAAAGCTCCTGCATATCTTGTACTGGCAGGCAGATTCTTCACCACTGGGCCGCCTGGGAAGCTCAAAACATGCATTACCCGCCTGTCAGTGATTCCTTGCAGCTCTAATTATGAGCGGAACTCACTCCTCCTTTTTCCAGTAAAGCAATGAGATCTCAGAGGATTGGTCACTTATCAGCTGTGATCCTGGGTAACTTAATTTTGCTGAGATTCAGCTTCACTGTGCAAGAAAAGAGGGCAACACTGCCTGTAGACAGGCTTGGTGGGGGCATTGGAGAAAGACTGCAGCAGAATCTCACTCAGGAAACAGTGGGGTCATTGCTCTCTGTCCTCCCCTTAAGCCCTAATCATTGACCTCTGTGCACAGAGGATCGTCAGGCAAGGTTACTTACACCTGGTGACCATAGGAAGATATGTGGATACCCAAATATTAGTAGGCATATGTCCTCACTGGTTCTGGTTCACCAAGAGTAATATAATCATTTCACCTCAATAAAGATTCACAGACCAGCCACTATGTCTATGGCCCTGTTACAGGGAAGATAATCAGATTTTAAGAAATTGAGCAGGAAACGCACACACACAGCCCAGAGCCAATGCTGGGGGAGGAGGGGAGGTGGAGAGAGCTGGAAATGTGGGCCTGAGCTCCATTCCCGAGTCAGCTGCTAACTGCCTGTGTGTGTGTGACCTTGACTCTCTGGGTCCCAGCTTCCTCCTCTACAGACCGAGGGAGTGTATTGAATACCCTTAAGGAAAAGTTGTTTTCAGGCCCCCAAATCTGTGGTACAAGGATTTTCTAGGAAAATTCTCAGGAAAGTATGAGCTGCCTTCCCACAGTTATAGATGCTCCATGGAGTTTGACCCAGAAATCACACTCTGAGGTCTCTGAAAGCTACACAAAAAGCAACAGCTTTAGCAGATGCTTATGCAAGAGTCAAAGATCATGTTGTCCACACCTTCTGGATATACCGCCATTGGGTCCTGGCCATGGGGAACAAACACACTTAAAAAGCTGACAAATAGTATGTGTTTGAAAAGGATACATCTCTTCTGGACAATAAAAAAGGGAACTCCATTTTCATGTAGATCACTGTTTCTCCATTGCATTCTGTTTCATAGGCTTCTATTAAACAAAGCAAAGTGAAAAAACCAACAACACAAAAGATGTTATTGCATCTGGAAGTCCCTTTGACTTCAATTAACAAGAAACTTTGATACCACAACCCTGTAGGGTAATAAATCACTAAGTCATGAGACACTGAATTTTAGAGAAAGTCATATATTTAGAACCACTGAAATCTTGTTGCCCTGGGACAGTGTCTGGTAGATATAAAAACACAGTAAAAATAAAAGAACCCAACAAAACTTGTTCATTGTATACCACAAACAACATTCTAAGACATAACGCAGTGGAACAAAATTAGGCGTCCAAAAATAAATTTTCAAATTCTAAAATCTTGGTAATCATCAGATGGCACTACAGTACCAATAATTTTTCCTGTTGTGACCTTTCTCCTCATCTTAAATTTTGTGACATATTACAGGTATCCTGGAACTGAGCAACCCAGTTTAGAAATGAAGTTTCCAGAGAGGTTAGTGTCCCTCCTAAAAAGCTAGAAAGTGGCTTAACTATGTTAACTGTAAGTTTTTTGTCTCTCTCCCACATTGCTTTATGTCACAGTTACAGGGACCAAATTTCCTTAATCTCCACCATGCTACTGTGTGCAAGTAGCATCAGCTCTTGGAGAGAGAGAGCAAAGCGATGCTATGAAGTGCACAGCATCTGCCCTCAAGCTGTGTGGGAAGCTTCTAACAAACCATTTAGAGAAGGAGCCAAGCCTAAGCTTCTGAAGGAACCAAGAGAATCCCCTGAGAAGGTGCTGACGGCACAGAAATGTGTTATTTAATTCAGGTTTTGAAAGAAAGAAAACCTATTAGAAGCAGACCACTGAGTAAAGAATGTATCAGTCCATCACTACCTGAAAGGAAGGGAATGAGTGGACATCTGCTGCCTTGGCCTGCTCTCCTATGACTCTCCCCTTCTTGCACTAGAATCTCATTCTCCTTCAGGGCATCATACTTTCCATCCTTATCCACTATTTGCTTTAAACAGGGCTGTTCAGTTCAGCTCAGTCGTGCAGTCGTGTCCGACTCTGAGACCCCATGGACCGCAGCATGCCAGGCCTCCCTGTCCATCACCAACTCCCGGAGTTTACTCAAACTCATGTCCATTGAGTCAGTGATGCCTTCTAACCATCTCATCCTCTGTCATCTCCTTCTCCTCCTGCCTTCAATCTTTCCCAGCATCAGAGTCT